TAATAATATGTCAATATGTATAAAAATCCAAAAATACCATACTATGTCTAAATAATCTACGTTTTTATTATTTAAATTAGGTACAATATAACTTTACGTCTCTTAAAAAACATTCAAATATATCATCATTGCTGTTTCTTAGACGCCACCATTGTTCCGCTAAATACGAGGGTAGCAATGATGATGTACCATGCATTTTTTTTACGATTCGAAGTTTTAAACCTCCCCATAAACTTTCTATGCGCTGTGTGTGTGCACTATTGATAGGATCGACAAAAAATTGGGAATGGTTTACGGTTGTATGTATTTACCATTTAGTTTCTAATGTCTTATATGCAAGCCATTCATCCGAGTGTATTGTATTGGTAGACCGCATACGACAAGAATACCAATATAATAAAAATTAAGTAATTAACAAATTAAACATGGTGAAAATAATTTCTTTATTTATTAATACACTGTAATTAATTGTGTACAAACATATTGGGTATCAATAAATTAAATGTATGTTATATAATATTATCAATTAATACTGAAAAATACAAAATTAATTTTGTACATTAGTTACTTTTTTTTTGGTTCTACATGGAACAAATGATAATAAATATTATTTACTAAAATTTCTTAYACAAAAAACAACAAATTATAGTACATTTATAAACTTAATTGATTATGTTTTAATTCAATATTGTCATTTGACGAATATTATTAAAATTTAAAGCATGGTAAACCCTGTAATATAGAATATCTAAATAAACTATAAATACTATTTTCTAACATAATCATGTTATGCACTAAGACAGAGATATTTACCATACTCAAAAATTACATTTTAAATTTACATAATTATTAAACTGCATATTATAATGTATTGTAATTTGTAAGATATAAATTGTACACGAATAAAAGTTTTTAAAATATAATATTTAATGATTTATACATAATATTAAGTCAAATTTTACAATTGTAAAAATATATAATTTTTTAAATTGATAAAAAATGAAATAATCTTTGACTCATCCCATTAACTTTAGCGAATATAATTAACCTAAACTCATTTAAATCAAAAATAATAAAATACAGATTGTGTATCTAAAACTAGAATTTAAAATAGTGCATGATTATTACAAAATAATTAATATAATACCCGTTTAGTATGAACTTTGTACAGTTAAATAGAATATTTTGTATAATATGCATAAAAGTTTTAAAAAAATAATACAAATCAATGTAGTAACTAAAATCTTAAAAAATATATGTATAACATTTGATTCTTAAACATAGWGATAGTCTAACAAAAATAATGAAAATTGAACAGATACCCTGATAGAATAAAAATGCAATTTTAAATTTAAAGGCCTCAGAAAACTTCATTATCACTTTGTTACCATTATAATGTTTAAAATTTTTTACGAAAAGTACTAGTTACTACCCTTTATTTTACTACCTCAGTCATAAAATTAATAAGATCTTGTTTAATAAAATAGGTTTTTAATGTATATTTTAGGTGCAAGTAATAGAAATTCTAATTTTGTGGAAATATTGCTACTTAAAATGTTCTATATACATTAAATGGAAAATAATTAGTTTTAAAAATAAAAAATAAATTACATAAGGTAAAAACAATTTTCTTTATATAAATATTCAAACTTTTTATATTTTACCTATTAATTTAATTTTGTTAACTAAAACCAATGATACTAAAAATAAATAAGAGTTAGGTATATATTTTTTGATCTATTATAGTGATTATGTAACTAATTTTTTTTTATTTTCTACTTTCTTCAGATAACAATAAAAAACCATTAATTGTTTTAAACTATTAGATTATTTATGGAATTTCTCTAAAAAATTATATATGATACTTAAAGTTGTCTAGATACTTTTTCAACTTCTTTTAAACATTCGCTTACTAAAGCTTTAGCTTTATGAATTGACTTTTTCAACCTTTCAGTAGAGTTYTTACAACCTGTATAAATTGGTCGGATTGATCCAGACATTTCTTCAATAACCGTCAACAACTCTCTATACTTAGCCCAGCCATCTTCACTACTTAATGAATCAATATCAAAAGTTTTTTCAACATTTTCTAATTGACCAGAT